AAAGTGGGTATAAAAAAAAAAAAGTGGGTAAAAGGAGCTCTCACTTGGGAGAGAGCATGGTGCTGGTAACACAATGGTCAAGGGTTCAAATCTCCATACTGGCCAGCCACCCCCCAAAAAAAAGAAAGAAAGAAAGAAAAAAGAAAAATATATAAATAAAGAAAGAATAAAGTGGGTAAAAGTTAAAAGGTACTCACAATAAGCCCAGCATAGTCTGTTGTTTCAATAAGAGTGTCGTGTAGCCACACAAAGTCTTCATGTTGCCTTGTAACAGAAAACTCTGGACTCTGAAACGTAGGCAATGTGGTCTGAAAAGAAAGGAGAGACAACTTAACTAGAAACCGCCCTCTTAGATAAAGTGGTTTGGATTTCCTGGGCTGCACTTCGGGAAAATTCTGCATAATATAACATCACAGTAAGATACAAAGAAGAACAAAGCAGCAATATATGATCTCCCCCCCACCCACCCATATGAGAAATCATAGCAAAGATTCAGCATGATTTCTAAGGAATTCTATTCACAAAACTCTACCTTTCTGAAACCTGTAATGTAATGAACATCCAAAGAGGCAGGAATCTACTAGTAAGCACAAAAGTTCCAGGAAGTTAAATGACAACCCTAATTCCATTTTTAAAAGCCTGAACTTACTTACCCCAGTTACGACAAAAAAGAAAAGTACACTAATGTTTTTTTTGAAAAAATCGTAGCTAAAGTTTACTACTGCTCTGGAAATTGTCCTTGCCTCTCTTTTTATTGCAATGAATGCTTATTTCACCTACTCTGATCAAGTCAACTCAAGCAGAGAATTACCAGTATTCACATTTCCTTCCAAATAACAGATATGTTCACCAAGCCACAAAGGCATTAAGAGAAAACTGAGTGGGAGAAGACCTTCCCAACTTAGTAAATATGGAAATAGCAAGCTACATACAGACACTTTCCTTCACTACAAATTAAAAACAAAGGTGGGAGATTTGTGCTGTGTAGACAGGTGGCTCTGACTGTGTCATTCTGCCTGGTACACTACCTCACAGAACAGAGTAGAAGCCACACTCAAGATCTACAACGCTCAGAGCCCTAGGGCTCCACCATAGCAGGAGAACACTGAAGCAAAAGCACTTATCTGATGCCTTCTACCAGATAAAAGAGGGAGGTGCTCACTGAGAAGCAGTGCTACACTGCAAACAGCAAACATTTTAGTTCAGGGAATCTCTTCTCATGCCCACTGTGAATGATAAGGCTGCAATCTAGCACTCTTTGTATTACTACAATCGTTCTGTCACTTACCTTGGTGTGCACTGTAAATTTGACCTTATCTCTCTCACTGAGTGCATCAGGTATGTCAATCTGAAGTGAGGGATCAACATTCAGGTCCACAGATACAGATCTCAGCTGAAATACATTTTTGGAGTATTAGTCTCATTCATTTTTAATAGGAGGGAGTCATTAAAAAGCAGACTATCTATAGATCATTCAGAAGTCAGTTTTCAGATATCACCAAGTGTTTTTTAAACTGAGGGGAAACCTCTTAAAATGCATGGGTGTGTGTCCAAAGAATTCTTGTAATCTCAACAAAGCAAATGCATGGTTCTAACGTCATGTGCATTACATATTTTATGTCTATGTGAGAAATACATTTAACAAACACTTGACTGTACACTAAGAAGGCTTGAACTAGATAGAATGAAATCTTAACCTTCTTACATAAATAAAGCACGAAGAACAAAAATCATTAACCAGACCATACAAGTATCTGAAAGAAGTTGAGACTAAGAAAACTTGGAGAGATGACACAAAGAACAATCATGGGATTCTGGGAGGAAAGACAGAATAGACGTTCAGCGACTGTTTCAAACAGGTGAGAAATCTAAACAGGAGGGGTGAATTACAAAAACTAACCAAGGCTTCACTTAATTAGCAGAACACCACTGTAGTTACACATGAGCAAGAAGTGTGAGTACCGCCCTAAAAACAAAAGTAACTGATTTTGTGAGATGGAAATTCAGAGGAAAAAAGCCAACTCCATTTTTGCCAGTTAAAAAAAAATAAAATAGGGCCGGCCCGGTGGCGCACTGGATAGTGCGCCGCTTGGGAAGCGCGGTGGCGCTCCCGTCCGAAGGTTCAGATCCCACATAGAGACCGGTTCCCGCTCACTGGTTGAGCGAGGCGCGGGAGCAACACCGAGGCTTGCGATCCCGTTGCCGGTCCCCGGTCCGGTACGGGGGCAACACTGAGGGTTGCGATCCGTTGCCGGACACGGAAAAAAGACAAAAAAAAAAATAATAAATAAAAAAAAATAAATAAAATAAAATAAAATAGGGCCGGCCCGGTGGCGCACTGGATAGTGCACCGCTTCGGAAGCGCGGCGGCGCTCCCGCCCGAGGGTTCGGATCCCACATACAGACCGGTTCCTGCTCACTGGCTGAGCGAGGCGCAGGAGCAGCACCGAGGCTTGCGATCCCGTTGCCGGTCCCCGGTCCGGTACGGGGGCAACACTGAGGGTTGCGATCCGTTGCCAGACACGGAAAAAAGACAAAAGACAAAAAAAATAAAAAATAAAAATAAAAAAATAAAACAAAAAAAACCCAACTTTTTAAAGAATAGGGAGGACTATAGCAGCACTTATAAGAACTGGGCTTTTAGGAAAAAGTGGATAAGATGGTTTTCCTATAAATTCAAAACAAGGTAAATTCCTTAATTCTTAAAGACAAGTTGGTAGTCAATCTGAAGGCCTGACACACAAGGCATGAGCATCTCACAGGGTAAGCATCTCATTTCCCCATTCTTCTTACTCTAACTAGTGTTAAAGTTGTCACAAAACTCCAGATGACTTAACACAGGGAGAATACCCAGTGAAGACTGGAATTAAGAGGATGAGGTTTGGGGCCGGCCCGGTGGCGCACTGGTTAGTGCGCCGCTTGGGAAGCGCGGCGGCGCTCCCGCCCGAGGGTTCGGATCGCCGAGGGTTGCGGTCCCGTTGCCGGTCCCCGGTCCGGTGCGGGGGCAACACTGAGGGTTGCGATCCGTTGCCGGACACGGAAAAAGACAAAAGACAAAAAAAAAAAGAGGATGAGGTTTTCCCCTCTAAATTTCACTTTGGAATCTTCAAAATAAAAAGTTCAAGACCAAGAACTGATGAATTTAACCTCAAACTAGAAAAACTAAAAAGACTAAATACATTCATTAAAAACACATGGGTTGGGCCAGCCTGGTGGTGGCGGTGCTCCCGCCAAGGGTTCAGATCCCATATAGAGACCGGTCCGCTCACTGGTTGAGCGTGGTGCGGGCGCGACACCGAGGGTTGCGATCCCATTACCGGTCACGAAAAAAAAAAGACAAAAAGGAAAAAAAACACATGGGTTACCCCTTTCTCTCTTTCGTATCTTAGAAGTTGTACTTTCCTTTTTCTTTAGCACTGTGACTAAGAAAAGATTTTAAATTGTGAAAACCAAGAAATAAGCTTCAAGTCTGTCACCAGAATATGATTTTAACATCAGCTACTCGGGCCGGCCCGGTGGCGCACTGGAGAGTGCACCGCTTGGGAGCGCGGCAGCACTCCCGCTGAGGGTTCGGATCTCATGTGGAGACCGGTTCCCGCTCACTGGCTGAGCGTGGTGCGGGCCCAACACCGAGGGTTGCGATCCCGTTACTGGTCAGTAAAAAAAAAAAAAAAAGACAAAAAGGAAAAAAAAAAAAACATCAGCTACTAATAAGATCATAATATACCTAATAACCGTCCTGACATCTCAACCTAAGTACTTTTTCTTCCAAATGAATTCTTGATGACTCCTATGAAATATTTGCTTGTTTGGCTTAATTTTCACAAGTCCATTTATGAGATCTCTGCAAACAAAGATAAGCTTCAAGGTCAAAGATACTTCATTTTATCCAAACTGTGACTCCAGCACTAGGCATATTTCTGATAAAAGCTTCCTTCCTTCTGATAAGTTACCACTGGACAAATATAGCCTTCAAAAAATACCTCAAGATATAAACTGAAATGTGACTAAAAGGAATACTGGCCACCCCACCTATATTAGGTTTCTACCTGTCAGGGTCAGGCATGTCCAAGTACAGGAAAAAAGCAGGCCAGGTGCTAAGAAACAACAAGAGTCGGGACAGCTCACAGGACCAGTCTAAGGTGCACTTCCCAGAACCCAGCAATGACTGTTTCCTGAGATTCCATTTCCCAAAGAAGTCACAAACAATGGTTTCTAGCACCTCTCAATTTAATATGCTGACAATTCCATTTTAGTTCATGACAAGCTGAACAAATTCAGTAAGTCTGCAAACTCCGCATGGACTACCTTTGGAATAAGGATTGGAAGAATCAAGAGAGATATCAAGTAAAAGGGGTTCATTTAAGTACCACAGTTAAAGCTACAATGGACTTTATCAGTCACTTTTTGTTCCACTGAATAATTATCTTCTGGTTTTGTCTCTTTTCCATCCCAAACATGTAGAGTAAAAGCCCAGATATATCTGTCTTCCTTTCTGGTCAATATAGAAATATTTTGTTTTCATATGAGTGTGAAGACAAAAAGGAATAAAGAAAAGTTTTAAAAAACTGTAGGTATAGCTGGATATGAAGCACACAAGGGTTCCCCAGCAGCCAGTTTTCCCTGGACATATCACCCTAGGAAGCAATTCAAAGAAAAATCCAACCACTTGACATGACACTCTTAACCACCAAATAAGCAGACTAACACAGAACAATCTATATTGGAGCCTTAAAAGAACTGTCTGAAAGAGAATAATGGCAAAATTCCAAGCCTCCAGGCTACTACCAACTCAATAGTCCTCAGTCACAAGTTAAATGAACTTCCTCATACTGTATGTAGCATAGAACCCTCCAGATGATGAAGGCGACACAATTAAGGAATAAAGTTATGAAATGCTTAGAGCTTCTAAGTCAGCAATTGTGTCTTCACTCCAGAAGCACCAAGTGTAATTAAAAGTTCAGCATTCCTTCTTAAGCTTAGTCAACAAAACCAACATCCACCCCCCACCATAGTTCCATGCCATAGTACTTGCTAAATAAATCACCAGACTCAAGGAATGGGTGGCACTCTTCCCCTTTTACCCACCTCTATCCCGTCATCTTGAGGCACCCGCAGTACTGCTTAGCCTGCTGGCCAGCAGAGTCTGACCTGGGTCACAGATGTTAAAATGCCTAGAATGGCTGTTTAAATCAGGGGAGAGGGCCGGCCCGGTGGCGCACTGGAGAGTGGCGGCGCTTCCGCCGAGGGTTCGGATCCCATGTGGAGACCAGTCCCCGCTCACTGGCTGAGCGCAGTGCAGGCGCAACACCGAGGGTTGCAATCCCATTGCCAGTCCCCAGTACGCGCGACACCGAGGGTTGCGATCCCGTTACCGGTCAGTAAAAAAGACAAAAAGGAAAAAAAAAATCAGGGGAGAAAGGCAGACTTGAGAACCAAGTCCAACCTTGGGGTATGCGAGAACTTTGGCATGTAAAGTTTTACCAGTTTCCCAGATCCCTTAAGTCACTTGTGAGAATCTAAAACATACCTACTTTCAAACAATGGAATTTAAGTTTTAAAAAAACTGACTTCTGTAGACTTACCTAGAATCCACTGCATCACATACCCAATGTTTTGGATGGAGTTTCAGCTCCCAATGTACTTCCTTACCAGATCAATCCTTACAATAAGGATTGCAATTGCCCTCACAGTAAGAAGAAACAAGGGGTAGAAAAAACAAATTATTCACCTAAAAAGCATTATTAACTATTTTAAGAAATCTGATTGCTTCTGGTAAGAGAGCCAAGGCACTTCTCTGAAAGGAGAAAAACAGTTATGGGTCCCTATATGCATTTCCCCACCTGCTCATTGGTTTCCCATCTGGGGCACCTCAGGCACTAGCTGCAGGACAACTCTGTTAAGACATCTGAGCTGCTGATACCAAATCTTCACACTCAACTTTTGGTCCAAATCTCACTTATGACTCACTAGCACAAGACTTAACACCATCACCAAAGCTCTCTCTTCAAAAGGTTTAGTGGTTCACAGATGACAAAGGGTACCTATGTTGTGTTAAAGGATAACATAAAAGGCAAGTTTCTGAAATTCAGAGCCCACATGGGAACAGAGAAAATACATAGAGAAGTATAATAAGCCTTAAATTATTATGGTGACTGCAAGACTCTGCTTTAAACTACTGCCATACAGCCAAAATGACAAGACAAAAAAATAGGCAAGGGACAGTTGGAATGAACTCCACAGTTAACTCGAATCTGCTAGAATGGGGGTAAGTTGAATACCTATTTAAATCTAACCAGTTTTACGTACAAGCCAGCCACCAATACATAAATACATCTAACTAGTTGTATACAATATACAATGCCAGTCCCTGTATTTCCATATTTATTTCAA